GGCAGTGATGAACCCTGGAGTTCACAGAGGACTCGCTTAAAAACCCACTTTGATCAGGTTACAACCACAGGCCGTGATACACTTGAAGTCGACAGTTAAAGAGAAGCAGTCGAAGTGCATCGCCTCAGGAACGATAAAACACACATTCAATATGAGCTCAGACTGAAGCATCGCAGTGGAGAGATCTGTCCTGAATGAATCCCACCAGAAGCATATGATTTGTTTTCACTTGTTTGTTTAATTTGCCATTTCTGTTTTTTTGTTTGATTGACAGCAAATTAGCATTTGATGGCAATGGATCGAGAAAACACGCCATAAATACACGTTTAAACAGCTTTCACAATGTAACTCTAATCAAATAATGACTATCCACTGGAATTCGGTAGTTTAATATTACGCTTTAACTTAATAACAAACGTAAAAATGAAGTTTCAGGCTACTTTTGAGATTCTAGACGTGCGAAGCTCAGCTGTGGGGTGTTCAGTGTCCGATATTTTCTCGTCGTCTCGCTATAAAATCATCCATCATTACAGACACTGCTTACCTTACTGAAGTACAATAAATGTGTTTTAATTGGACAGGGCTTTCAGAGAGAAGGATGAAGGCTGGTCGAATCCACAGAGAACAGAATAGCAGGACGTTGGCCACATTAAACCGTCTGTGTTATCTTTAGCACCTTATGCATGTATCATTGAGATTCCTGGCCAAAGCAAGCACTCTTTAGAGCGCACCGGATTATAACACGACTGAACGATTGGACGCATGTTAAGAAATGAATTGTACCATACAGTGCTTCAGACAGAAGTCAAAAAAGCAGCCAGTTATCGAAGGTGTCAAATAGCAAATTAGCAAAATGTCAGTGCACTAAAAACCTCTGCAGTCACTACTGTTTTCGTAACGAGATGGTTTCACAAAAACAATCCGAGCAAAGATGTAATTTAGCATTGTAGACATCACCTTTACCTGACCACACTATAATCATGGTCATGTTGTCATTTCGAAAAGATCTGCTCATAAACAACATTTAATTGTGCTCAAAAATAGTGTTAGCCTGTCAAGGGATGTATCGGCAAGGCTATTAACCTCTTGAATTGATTTCGATTTAACAACCGATAATGCACTTTTTTCCTGTTTTTATATGTTCTGCCCTGTAGATATCAGTATCTGCCACTAAAAACCCCATATTGGTCTGCCACTATTAAAAACGACTCTGTTAAGATGAAAAAGCCCCAAAAACGCCTGGAGAGAGACGTATTTAGCTGATTAAGAAAGTTAAACGGTAGCCTCATTTTCATTTTAAGAGGCACACACTATGGTTCTAATGCTTCTCTCATTGAACCACAAAGCTTCCTACCATTTATAAGTACAAGTGATCTCAATTAGAGACCTCCATGAAGGCACGGGGCGGCAGACAGTCACGGCAAGAGGCGGCAGAGGAAACTGTCTTTACATTTTTCCTCCCTCACTTTTCCAGACAGCCGGCGTGCCCAGAGCAGACAGCGTCAAAAACACCCCGGAGTCTGTTTTACAGTACAGCGCACATGCCAAGTCCCAGCTGACTTTTCACAAACCTTATTTCTCTTCTTCGACATTTTTACACATCGGTTTCAGCAGCAAAAAAAAAAAAAAAAAAAAAGCATGAGGCAAATGCGTCGCTGACAACAATTGTACAGTGTGACACAGATGAATGCAACAGATTGTTAGACGCTGGAATATAATATCTCCGAATCATCACTCAGTGCAAGCGCCTGCCAAAAGAGGAAGAAAATCTTTGCAATTGGAGGCCATTTAGTCTCCATCAAAAAATGCCTTTGACTGCAAGCTATAATTAAATGTCTTTCAAAAAAAATATAAGACTGCAATCCGGAGCCCTTTATGGAGTCGCAGGGTCAAACGATTTTCTTGTTTAAAAAAAAAGTTCTAAAACGATATGAGTGTGTGAAGTGAGATTCAACAGGCACAGAGCATTTCGAATTTATGACTCGTAACAACAACCTAATTATTAAAAACAAAAAATGAATCGGCCCTGTAGAAAATCAACATGATGTTACTCATCACGGCAGACATAGGAGACGTGTATCATTTTAGGCTTCTGTACACGGCCAAACAAGCTATTAAAAACCATATTTCTTACAGTAATATTTTTATCTTGGCAGGGATGATTTCATTGCACGAGAAAAGTTTGTGTAAGAAAAACAGTCGAAATGAAAATCGTCAAGAAATGTCAGGGTCACGTTTCACTGTAAAACACAAAGAAAATATATATTTTTTGCAATGTAACATTATTTTAATGACAATTATGCATATTCTGCTATTTTTTTAACTGTATAAAAATTTTAAGTATACATAACTCTTTACTATTTTTGTACTGAATTTACTTTATGCTGATTTCTATTCATAAATACTTATTATAAATGTTAAAACAAATATAATATGTATAGCTATTTAATCATCTGGACTGTATTGCATAGTTTATTACACTCTTATTACATAGCATAAAGAATTCGGGATGAAAATGTGCTTAATCTTCATAGAATAAAAAAAAAAAAAAAAGGTTAAAACAGTCTTTAAAATGTCTCATTTTATTCATGCAAAACAAAACTTTACAAAAACCTTTGTTGACCAGCTATTGTCTCCAGTTTTGACTAAACAAAAAGGGGAGGTGTTTTTATTTTTCTGGACAAGCTGTTGTGTGTCTCACTCAATCCCCCCACGCGAGGTGTTGTGATTTGCATGAGTTTGAAGGTCTCCTCAGGTGGGATTCAAAGCAGAACGACAGGATGAATTTCACTGTGGCTTTCCTAAAGAACATCTCTCACTGGGTCAAACCGCAAGCGCTCTGTTGGAGGGAAGTAAATGGATCGGCATGTAAATGTACTTTATGACTCCTTTGTGCTTTCTGTGAAGCACTTTTGTAGACCTGGACGCTTGCTTTATAGATTGAGCTAAATATTATTCATTCCAAGATCAACCACACTTAAGGTTTTTGACGGAAAAACAGGGTTTCTGACAAAACTACTGTCGTGTGCCGGAGTACATCCAGAGAACCACAAACACCGATGCGGTTTCCAATAAGCAAACCCTCATTATTTCTGACGGATGAAATAATAAGCATTAATTGATACTTCGGTAAACCGTAAAGTGGTCTTCTGTAATGGAAATCCAGACTGGCTCTTCTGAAGGCCACGGCTTCCATCATTGGCGCTAGGGCCGTCATCAACGGTTATTTTGACGGTTAATCGAGTAATTGGATATTTTTTGTGCTAATAAAAACAGACCTAAGTGAACAAAAGCCTTTAAAATGACTTGGCAATAATAATTGGTTCATAATAAAGTATCAAAAGAAAGTAATCATATATGGATTTATTGAACAACACTATAATGTAATATACATAATATAAACGATCAACTTATGTACACACAGCTACGCAGAGACTGAGTTTGTGTGGAGCAGCATTTATTTACTGTGAATGAAGCTGCTCTGAGATGCTGGAAGAAAACGCATGTAAATAAAGCGCCACGCTTCACTCTGAATCCCACAGCGCATACACTACCGTTCAAAAGTTTGGGGTCGGTACGATTTTAAATACTTTTAAAAGAATTCTCTTCTGCTACCCATGGCTGCGCTTATTTGATTAAAAATACAACAAAAATCAGTTATAGTATTAAATATTATTCCAGTGTAAATCAGCTGTTTTCTGTGTGAATATATAGTAAAGTGTAATTTATTCCTGTGATCAAAGCTGAATTTTCAGCATCACCAGTGTCAGTGTCTTCAGTGTCAAATGATCCTTCACAAATCAGTATAATATGAGGATTTGATGCTCAAGAAACATTTATTATTATTATCAATGTTGAAACAGTTGTTGGTCTGTCAGTTGTACAGTTTTTTTTTTTTTTTTTTTAGGATTCTTTGATGAATAGGAAGTTCAAAAGAACAGCATTTGTTTGAAATAGAATCTTTTGTAACATTATAAATGTCTTTACTGTCCTTGATAAATAAAAGTATTGATTTCTTTCCTCCAAAAAATAAAAATAAAATTCTCACTGACCCCAAACTTTTGAACGGTAGTGTATATATTTATGCAATTGAATCGCAGCTTTTGTTATTTCACAACAGCACTCTGCTAATATTATGATATTTAAATGGTTTTAATATATCGTCCAGTCTTAGAAAATGGTCTGATAATGCGGTTCATGGATTATCGTCCGTGGAACCCGCAACTTCCGGCATTTTGCCGGTTAATCGACGCGGGTAAATTGCAATCGGGGATCGTTTAAAGACGAGCATTCGAATTTAACCGAGGATTCGTGACAGCCCTTATTGGAGCTTTATAAAATCAGTATTACATTAAAATTCCCCTGTGGTGAAAATCAAGTTTTTAATGTAGTTGACATGTCTATGTGGTGTTTTTAATATGTTTTAAGACAAACCATGTGCAAATTCATAAGTCAAGACCATTGCTGAGTATGTTCTCCTTTAAAACTGCAGTGAATCAAAGACAGTCTCAGAAACACGGTTTGAAATCGCTGGTGTTTCTGACGTCACAAACTACCTTGTAACCAATCGTCAACGAGTGAATCACTGAGCTGGTGTGAGTGAGTGGAGGCGGGGCTAATTTGCATATTCATAGAACCGCGTATACTAAATGAGGCAAGCTGTAGAGTTACATTCAAGCTATTTTAAGGCATGAAGTTTGTGTTCAAGGAAAAAAACGTTTAAATATGTCATTTTGGTGATCAAAGATGAGTTTTAAGGGAGACTGATTGGCTATAGGGGGACTTTAACCTATGGGAAAAACCATGTACCAAGGTAGCAACCATATTCTTCTCTGAATTATCTTGGAGTATCACGTAAATGACATATATGAATATGTTAAACAGTCATCACCATATCAGGGTATCATCATCAATGCAACTCCACAGTGCTTGTTGTAATGGCCTGGAACACATCAGAGTTTTCCGAATGATTTTAGACAGGAAAACTTTCATCCACTTACATCATGCTCTGGAGCTCAGGGATGAAGCTGGTGGCCTTTCCAGATCCGCGTCCGGCCCCGGTGCTGCTGGCTGCCATGGGGCTCGCAGCACTGCTGCTCATCTGTAACACACACACACACACGCGCACGCACGCTTTACACAACGCCCACTCAAAGCCTGAGCAATTATAAAGCCACTTCACATGGAAAACGCTTCCTGATGCATCCACTGACAGGAGGGGAAACACGCCACATGTTCAGAGCAGGACACGTTCAACCGGAGTCAATGACAAACGGCGCTCACAAAGAGATGTCAGACAGACGGACGCAGGATGCTTTTTTTTAGCAAGTGAGACTGAACTATTTTTAATGACCAAAGCAAGGCTGCTTAAACTTCTGTAGGCAATGAGAGCTGACAAATGATCTTTTAGTTCAAAGGGAACGGCAGACATGTTTAAAGTCTGTTTTTGTTCTAATGTTTACTAAACGCTTGATCTAGCCAGCATTACATGGCATGATAAAAAGTGCATAATTTAATTCCATATAACATTTTAGTGTTGTGCTCATTTGGCACTAAATCCCTGAAATCAAAATGAACCAACGACCTATGCAAAAAGCATTTAAATATTTATAGGGGCCAATATATAAAATGACAGACACAGAACATTACTATAAAGTTGTCGTCAACCAATATGTATATTTAAAATGCTGATGCCATTTCTGTCTCTCTCTTGAAGTATTTATTAATTGCATGCCAAAAGTCTTGTTTGTTTGCTTTTACATCTAAAATCCTGACATCCTTAGGTTTAAATTTAATTTTGAATCAGAGATATATAAATAATAATAACAATGATAAAAATTTCGAATATATATATACCTTTTGTGAATTTACAGTAAAAGTTTTGTACATTTTACACAATTCATAAAAAATAAATTAATGACATCAAATATTCAGTATATATTGATTGAACAATTTACACATTAAAACAAAAAATAATTATAAAAATATAAATATCTAATAATTAAAATATAAGATTTTTAAACTTTGACTTTAAACGACTTGACTATAAACTGAGTATATAATTTATACTCAATTCACAACAACAAAAAACAACAACTCCAATAATAATAATACCAATTATTTATACTTCTGTGAACATTTTTTTATATATATATAAGCTATAAATTGAGTATTCAATTTATACTCAGTTCACAAACAAATTTACTAATACTTTAAAATACTAATCGTAATAATAATAATATGAAAATGGAAAATGCGTACTAGCACTGATCAGGCTGTTTTTGGAAACTATGAGGCCTGGCTCATTAATCAGCTGATAAATTGCCATTGAGAATCTGCATTTTATATGGTTCATATATCGGTCTGTCACTCAAATACACTATACCTTTAAAGAAATAGTTCACTTCAAAATGAAAATGCTGTCATCATCACTTATTTACCCTCAAGTTGTCTCAAACCTGTTTGAGTTTCTTCTGTTGAACACAAAAGAAGATATTTTGAAGAATGTCGGTGACCAGACAGTTGATGGACCCCATTGACTACCATGGTAGGAAAAAAATACTATGGAAGTCAATGGAGTCCGTCAACTGTCTGGTCACCGACATTCTTCAAAATATCTTCTTTTGTGTTCAACAGAAGAGAGAAACTCGTACAGGTTTGAAACAACTTGAGGGTGAATAAGTGATGACAGCATTTTCATTTTGAAGTGAACTATTCCTTTAACATCATGGTGGTTCTGACTGCATCTGTCTGCCACTCTCCAGAACCAGAGTCAACATTACTATCAGACTCAGAAATCAGAACATCATTATTTGCTAATGTATCTGAATTATCAGAGCACGTGCCGTCGAGCAGTTAACATTCATCACACAGCTATCTGCACAGTTTGCAGTTAGACTTCCTCTAATACAAAGAAAACAAATTAACAGGATGCTGATACAACCCCAGAAATGGAGCTTGTCGAATTCAAATGCGCTCATTGTCGGCCTCGTCACGGCCCACCGGGATTATTTGAGCAAACCTTGGTCTGTTTGAACCTGAAGCTGACATGAGTGACTCAGAAACCACAGCCTTCCTACGGCATCAGACTATCAAATCTCACAAGCGGACGGCCCTTTTCTCACGTACATGAGACGTATAATCCCTATTAATGCTGGTGTAGTCTGACAAACAAGATATCATTATTATTTGCTTACCCTCATTCAAAAACAGTATGAAATTTAGGGTGTGTTCACACATTTAGTTTGGTTCTTTTGGTCTGGACGAAAAAAGTAAACATTTACATTTAGTCGTGGGTTACTGTCACTTTTAATACTGAAACTAAAGATACCACAAAAAAAACGGCTTTTATGACGTATATTTTGCGAGTGGACTTTTCAAACATCCAAACCAATGCTGTGTGCTCGGATAAATGCGCTCAATGTGCGTATATTATGTGATGGTGGTAGCTGTATGATAAAGCGGACTTGTGAAGAGCTTATAAAATGTGTAAAGTAGTAATAACAACGGCAGGAATCCCTCCGTCACACACACAAGATGTCACATGTTTATTGTTCGTTTACACGTTTTTGGTCCGTGTTGCGTTAATATTACAGTCGAACCGTACCTAAGTTTGTTTGAGTTCACTTGTTTGGTGCGCACCAGGGAATGGTGGCAGCGTTCACACTTATTCAAATGAGCCGCACTAACAGAGCAATCGCACCAGAGTTCATTTTAATCCAACCAAACCTGCCAAGTGTGAACACACCATTAAAGTTGCCATGAAATTAAAATTGACAACTTTTTATATATATATATATATATATATAGAATATTGGAGTTTTTCTTAGACATGACATGGTTACGGTTCACTGGCACGAGGGCGGGAAAACCTCTCACTCATTTCACATGAGGTCCACCAATAGCAAACCACAACCATCCAATCAATACCCCATTGACAAAATCAAGTCCCGCCCTACATTTTTTCTTGTTCGAGAAGCCGTTTCACTCATGTGTCACTAGTTTTGTCAAAAGGTTACAGAAATTTCAAAAATGTGACGCTTTGAGTAGAATCATAAACACCTCTGATTGGCCATTGTGCTCGCGCTCATAAAATCTATCTGTAATTGGCTACAATGAGCGCGTGAACACAATGGCCAATCAGAGACACATTTTTTTTATTTCAGTACCGACTTGGTGAACACTATGTGTCACAATAGGGCTCAAAAAACTATCGCAACTTCCGTCTCATGCAGACTTTAAGCCATTAATCACAGATAATCTGCAGCTCTCAAATCTAATTCATGCTCACATTCAATTACTGTAAATAAAAAGAACGTCAAACCAAAGTGACAGCAGTTTCAACACAGAGAATGGAGAATGCTTTTCAGAGCTATGACAAAGCACAGACAATCTCGTCACGTGGCTTTAAAAGACTCAAAATACAGCACCGATCACATGGACTAGCTTTAATCATTCTGGGGTTTGACAGCACACGTCCCGAATGGCTTCAAAGAGCACCCAGGATATTTTTCAAAATTTCTTATTTTCATGTTCCACAAGAATAACAACAGCATTTGGGTTTGGAACGACATGAAGGTGAACAAATAAAGGCAGAATTGTCATTTTTCAGTGACCTTCTCCTTTAATCAGAGCCAATATAAATCTTAATTCTGTCTCAGAGGGACATGAAACTAAATGTTCCAAAGTGTCACCAAAGCAAACGCAGGGCCCTTTTCTTCAATAAACACATCGCGGCATAACATTTCCTTCTGTTTTCGCCCCCTCTGTTGGATGAAAGATAAAGCTTTTGCTTTGACTTGTGAAGGCAGATGGTCGCCATACTGGGCAAAATGAATTCAGATGTGGCAAATGAATCAAGATTACTTCAACATGCAAAAGGCTTTGAAAGAACAGAAAAGGGAGCCGTTCTATTTATTGCATTTTTCCTCTATGTAATTAAATAGTCAGGACTTTTATGTAGCTTCCACGTCTTTTTTTTTAAGTTTGTTTTGTTTTTTTTCTACAGACGCCTAGTTAATTTCCTCATTTAGTCGTGGGCGTTCGATTTGTGTTTTGGTCGATTTTGCCAAGAGCAGTAGTCCTACAGCGTGTAAAGACAAAAATACGGATGACTCTTGGTGACATAAAATGATTTTGAGGAAGGGTACTTTTACTACTGCGGCTCTAAGAAAGCCCAAATATCAGCATTCAAAGACCTCCAACACATTTATTTCTTCTTTATCCAAGACATCCCAATCCAACCTTCCGCCACATGCTGTTTCAATATATATTCAACTATATTTTTCATTAATTACAATTACCCCAACTCAGCTGTCTCATAAATTTTCAGACGATCATCATAACAGGGGGAAAATCAGAAACATATTTGGCGCTCGCAGTCGCCGAAGAAGGAAATGTAACTTAATAGTGCGTCTTTCTCGAGGCCCTAATGAAGTGGCAAATGCGATTCAGAGCCATTGGATGTTTTATTTCCCTCCTACATCCTCGCCGGGCCGCCACACACAGTTTCCCAGCGTCTCCACAAGATCTGCAATCATGCGAAATCCATTTCTCTCACACCGAAACGTGTAGATTAAAGGCTCTCGGACGTGTACTTGGACAGGAAGGAGGAGGAGGAGAAGAAACGAATCGCACGTTCAAATCTCCATCATCTGTGTGTGTGCAAGTTTCCACAGAGTCAGGCTTCATGTCGAGTGCTGACATCACTCTTCCTACGGTCTTTCAAACAGCCAAGGTTTTACAAACAATACACATGGGGGGAAAGTCAGGCTAGACACAAAAGTGAGGATATGATTTTTTCCAGAATAAAACACAGAATTGACTGTGAAGGAAGAACAGAGTATGAAACCTCAACTAACCACAGGCTCACAACTGGAGCCTGGAATAAGAAAACGGGATCAGCACTGAGATTTTTCCATCTAATTATGATTTTTGCATTAATAATGTGCATATTTAATTTGCATACCCACATAAGCAAGCTCATTTTGGCTCAGTATATATTATTTAATGCTTATGTATGACTTAAAGATACTGAAATAACGTGACATATCAAAAAGCTATTTACCATAACTGTAACTAAAACTAACAACTTTCAATAGATTTCAGAGAATCCAAACAGTTAAAACTATATCAAATAAAATGCTTGTCAACATCATAAAGACATAATGATGCTTGTAAAAGTGTTGTAACACACTTTGTGAACATACAGTGGACTGAACTGAACAAACAGAACATTTCGAGTCTCGTATCAATATCAGTTGACTTTCAGACTAAATAAATAACCGAATTTTAAGCTTACACATTAAAGTAACTGATTATTTTTACCTTATGTATGTTAAGATCTATTCAATCCATCCACATGTGCTCTTTCAAACTGCAAGGCACTTGACTGATGTAAACATACTGTTCAGCGCGTGTCTATTTGACGTCACTCGGTCTGCCAGGGATTGTGGGTAATGTAGTTTTTAAATGGTTATCTAACGCAATAGCCCGCAGTGGTAAGCGAAAAGTGCTGTAGTTCTGCATTTAATCTCGTCGCATAATAAAAGACGCATTTAAACGTTAAAGAGCTTTTCAGATTTATCCGGTTAAAACCAAAACCCACAATAATAATAATGAAAAGCATTATCAATAGGCTAATAATAATCAAATAAAAATCAATAGCCTAAATATTAACATAACATTTGCATCTACATTTCAACAAAGAATTATTAGAAAATAACTCATATGATTAAAATGATGATTTTATACTTATTATTACATTCGAATGTTATTCTTTGACCTTGTATCTAGTAGTTTCCCCAATCTTTTTCAGATTAAAAAAAAATAATAATTAGCCCGAAAATATGAACATATGGTATATGCATTAACATAATATATAAGTTAACATGTATACATACACTTCTTCAATGTTGTTGTCATGGCTTCTGTCCTGCTATTGTATAATATTAACTTTAACCGGGCTCTTTATCTGCCTTTAGAAATTGGAAATGAGTCACTTCTCTTCTTTGCTTGTTTGCTTTCTGTCTGGTTTCAATGAGTTGTGTTTATGTCTCTTTATGAGCTCGTTATGTCTCACGTGAGTGAACAGTGAAAGAAAACTTGCTGTTGCCATAATAAAGAATTTACTGTTGAATATCTCACTGTTAGTTGCTTAATACAGGTCTTTCCTTACTTTGTTTTCTTTTATACATCTCTTAACATTTCGAGATAAATGACAACTGTTCTGCAGTTTATTTATAGCAACAGGGTCTCTGTGTAGTATTTTATGGATTGCTTTGGTATAAGAGGAAAAAGAGCTCTAAAAAAATGATATGAAACCTCTGAATTGCTGATTTATTTTGATGCCGTGAAATGGTGCTTGGAGACATGACGTGCTCAAGACTCATCAGCATAATAATCCTCCTGCTTCTGCATATATATATAAACCACAAAAAACCTGAGCTCACCCAAGTCCCTGCCTCCTAAGACAAACCACACAACGAGACAAAAACACTGCGGCTTTGCAGCGCCTTCATCTTTCTAACCACAACCTTTGGAATCACCTTTTTAACCCTTCACAAAGACCGTGCATGGACCAAGAAAGGTCTTGAGGACTTTTGCAAAGCCGTAAACTTTCTTTTTACTACTTACATGGTGGCACGTTTTAAGAAGCGCGGTAAAGTGAACTCTCCGATCGAGCGCTGCGCGTATAACGCGAAGTGACTCGCTCTTTTTTCCCGGATTTTGAAGTTTATTACAGCAACGTTCAACATTGGAGAAGCAAAAAATCGCCTCGTAAATTATGTCTGCGTTTCTTCTGCGTGTAACCATGAGCTCGTGCGCGTTAATTTCAACGCGATTCACCTGTGGGAGCGCGTAAAGCTTGCGCGTAAAGCCTGAGAGGAACCGATCTCATCCAACTTTTTCGGTTTCTGGAAGGCGCGTTACTCAGCCTAACGGACTTTATATAGATCCTGGCTGAAAACACTGACTTTAGTGCTGGTTTTGAAGTGTCCTTACCTTTGCTGACATTGTTGTGATGCGCATTCCGGTAGACCCGAACACCAGCCGCAGGTTCAGTCCGCCGTCCAGCAGCCTTCAGCCGGTGGCGGGGAAGATGAGCGATGTGCAGCAGGAGCCGAACGCGGCGGTGCCGAGACTCCGACAGCACGACAACCGAACCATGGTGGAAATCATCGCGGACCACCCCGCCGAGCTCGTGCGCACGGACAGCCCCAACTTTCTGTGCTCAGTGCTGCCGTCTCACTGGAGGTGCAACAAAACTCTCCCGGTGGCGTTTAAGGTCAGAAACACTTACGGATTTAATAGTGATTTACAAACATTAGTATTTAGGCTACATTAAACTATGTATGTTTTTTTTTTTTTTTTTTTTTTTTACTAGATGCACATTAACTCGTGATGTGTTTAGCATTTTAGACACGACCAGTAGATCAGTAGATCGTTTACATTCATAAATGAATATATTATTATTAATGTAAACCAGGTAATTATTTAGGCCTAACCAGGCTGGTCTCGTTGAGATTTAAATCTCCTTTACAACAGAGACCTGGCCAAGATCCAGACAACATTAAAATGCGTAACATTTCATATAAAACACACTTAAAAATTAGTAGGAAAGAAAAACGCAGCCATTTATAACAGTTTCAATAAAATTATTCTATTTAAGTTAATTTGATTGTTTATGTAAATGTAAACTCACAGGTCTTGACGTTACATATAAGGTTATAAATACTTCATATATAATCAAACTTTTATTTAAATGTACATGAACTAAAAATCTGAGCAGCATTGTTGGGTTTTTCCTATTGTAATTTAAAAACGTATTGATGGACACGATTTATGATGTTTTTACCAGTGTTTCTTTTCCACATTCATGTGCTTTAATGTTAATAATAGTGTAGGCCTAGTTGTTGTTTGTTTTAATTATTGTTCGCGGTTATTTGTGGGTGATGTTTAAAATGAGAAATCCTGCCGTGCTGGAGAGAAGTGAAATCTGAGCGATTTGAAGCTATTCATAGAAACAAACACATGCATGTTTAATCACGCGGCCTAAATTACACACAACTATTAATACTTTCACCAAAGATAGAGTATTTCATATAAATGCATCTGAAGTATCTGTAACACTGTAATGATTCCAGAGTCATTTTGTTCTGTAAACCTTTGTTCATTTAGATGAGCTTGTAGAACTGAACCAGCTGCTCCTGCTCACATTGAACAATAACATCAAATCATCATTCATCTGAATTAAACATCATTTTTACAGTTTGTTATTTTAGGGGGGAAAAGGTAAATTATAGTAATTTTGGCAATAAGTAAATGTGTGTTTTTATTTATATTAATTTTCTAAGTGCCTTCATTGGACTTACTTTTAAACAAAGGGGGAATATATATACATTTATATAGGCCTATTCAATATATATATTCAAATTCGCTTTAGACATTATGCTCATTGTTTATTGCTGAATCAATAGTAATGTCTTGGTGTAACTCATTTATACTAACTGATATCACCTGATGTTTTCCAACCAGTTTAAGGTGATTTTTTTACATAGACAATTTGAAAGCTCACCTTAAAGGACAATCTAGCTTTTGTCTGATGATATATTTGCGTGTTTGACTTGATTTATTGTGTTATTATTGTGTTATACAGCAGTTTAGTTTCAAAATGTCACCTATAATCTGGATCACAGGCCTGTTTTGATCAGGATTGAGACCGTATATGAATGTAAACAGTGAATATCAGGGTAAATGATGTGTTTTCTGCTCAGGTTGTTGCTCTGGGAGATGTTCCTGACGGGACCGTGGTGACAGTTATGGCAGGGAATGACGAGAACTACTCGGCAGAGCTGCGAAACGCCTCAGCTGTCATGAAGAATCAGGTGGCGCGTTTCAACGACCTGAGATTTGTTGGCAGGAGTGGAAGAGGTTGGTACTTCCACTTTAATTTTATTTATTCTTCGCTGGCCGCTTCGTTTGCTTTGGCTGAATCATAAAAAGGGTCAAATCACGTAAGACATTCGTTTACAATAAATGACATGTTAGAAATAAAAGTTTGGCATGCGGCGCACGATCCGAATTGACAGGAAAAGTCAAGTTTTACCGCAAATACCCATATAAAACGGATTTATTGCTATTTAAGAGTCTATTGATGGCATCTGTGTAACTTGTAAAAAAAAAAAAAGTAAATATGATGTAAATTATACATAGCATATTTTACATGAACACAAATAGGATACTGTCCAAGATTCCTCGCTTACGGATAACACCGAAATGAAAAGAACTGCAGAACTGGAACCGAATCACAGAGAGGCCTCCGCATTATTATTTTCCACAAGCGTCCAACATTTTGAGTGCTTCCACGTTGAGAATAAAGAAAAAGGGTGTGCTCCCAAAAAAAATAACTGTCATTTAAGTATTCCCGAAGCTTAAAACGTTAAAATAAAAAACTTAAAGCAGCATGTAACTGTTGCAAAGTAAAAATGGTATTTCCATTTAATATTTTTCTGTGTTACATCCACCCTACACACCCTACACCCCCCCCCCCCCCCCCCCCCCAAAAAACTCTTTAGCACATGAATGCGGGCTCAAAGTGCTCACAGACTGCTTATGTGTGGATGAATGCTGCTTTTGATATGCTTGCAATTATTGTCAAAGACAAAATCCTGCTCTTGTGATCCTGTCGGAAGAAGGCATTGAGAGCGCAGGGCTTTGAAGAGAACGGGACAGGAGATCACAGGAGCGCCCGTCTGCTGCTGGAGGCTGCGTATCCGAGGTCTAGACTTGCCCTGCTAATCCACACGGGCACTTAAAGTGAAGCACGTACGTGTGCAGCAGGGAATCCCTCGCATGGCGCCCACAAACTACAGACTGAATCTGGATGAAAACAACTCCAGGTGTTTTGGGGAAGCGCCGCTCGACTTATATGGGCTTTTTCAATAGCTGATGCCGACATGAGAGCATGCGTGTAGCCGATGGCTGATGTATGTTGTGATTAACTGATTTTGTCTGATATTTGGTTACTTTTGAGATTTAAAAGGATAGAAGTGGTTGCTCTGCCAGTGTCAATTCAAAAAACTAAAAAGAAATTATATGTATACATATACAATATAGAATTTTGAGTAAATAGGGTTAATTTTAATTCAACAATTATTTATACATCATATTTACTATCACTAAATTCTATTGTGCGCACACAGACACACCCGCACACACACACACACACACACACACACACACACACACACACACACACACTCAACAATTAATTATACATCATATTTCCTATCACTAAATTCTATTGCGCGCACACACACAGACACAGACACAGACACAGACACACGCGCGTGTGCGCGCACACACACACACACATATATTGCCTATATATATATATCACTATATCACTGGGGCAGTACATTTTGAAAAAGTACTGCCCCAGTTATAGCTTTTGTACCTTTTTTTATATAGACACACACACACACACACACACACACACACACACACACACACACACACACCGTTTAGTTAATGTCGGTAAGATTTTTTAAAATAGTTTTGAAGTCTCTTCTGCTCACCAAGGCTGCATTTATTAGATCAAAAATACAGTAAAAACTGTATCATTGTGAAATATTATTACAATTTTAGTTCACTATTTTCTATGTCAATTTATTTAATAAGTCCTATTTATTCCTGTGGCGCAAAACTGAATTTTCAGCATCATTACTCCAGTCTTCAGTGTCACACGATCCTTAACAAATCATTCTAATTTGATGATTTGCTGCTCTAGAAACATTTATTATTATTATTATCAATGTTGAAAACAGTTGTGCTGCTTAATATTTTTGTGGAAGCTGTGATATATATATATATATATATATTTCAGGATTATTTGATGAACAGATCAAAAGAAGTAGTTTCTGTCGCCTTTGATCAATTGAATGCATCCTTTCTAAATGGAACAATTTCTTTAAAAAAAATCTTACTGCATGAATCGGACATTAAAAAAGGACAGTCTTACTTTGCAAAACACATCCACAACATATTTGAATATTATCCAATGCAAGGCTGTTGGTAAATTCTGGAAGTGACACAAATGGGATGGATAAAGATGGATAAAGCTTGTGTTAATCGGCCAACTGGACATAAATATCATAGGTAATAATGGTTTGCTACTCTTTATGTCTGTGGTGGTTAAATCAGTGGCATCTGCATGCGTGTGTGTTGAAGACACCAGATCGACCCACAATCCGTCCAAGAGGACACGGACGTGCAAACAGTAGTTTGTGCAGCATTTGGCCGGTCAGTGAATGTCCTCACACACCGCCCAACACGCCAAGGGTGCGCATCCGTGTTATCTCCTCACAGCTGTCACAGCGAACAGGCCTTGGCCCGCATGGAGACCCACACCTCCACAGGCTAGAGTTTCCTCTATCTATGACACGGGATCTGGAAGAGGAAGTCAGGGAGGAGATAGCACAGCATAAGGAAATTAAATATGGAAAACGATACGATGCACTGTGTGGAAGATTAAAATAAGATCGACCGCAATCAAACAAATGACATCAGAAAAATAGCGCTCCTTGAATTACCGTAAGCAATGCCGTTTCCTGAGACATAATGTGTTTAACATTTCATTTGTGCAGGAACACATTTCTGTTTTCAGAAGCGCTGTGCCCTTATTTATGAATGGATTTGGCTATGCTGGGTTGGTTAGGTCAGGGCGGGATGTTTGTTGTTGATCAGGAGTTATGCATTTCACAATCTCTTTCTGTTTAGGAAATCATTTGGAACAGAAAAACACCGCTGGATGAGCCATGCGTTTAGGATATTTTTAGTAGCTGGACGCCAGGCGTTGGATGGATGGCAGATGCCAGGGTTGGTGGAGCGGTTAGACGCTGGGCTGGGCCGTGGTGTGTGTTGGGTATCAGCTCGCTGGGTAGGGCTCGGGTGGGTCCAAGAACGTGCTTTTTGGGGCTTATGGACAGATTCCTGTGGGGGAAAAGAAAGAGTAATTACATTAGCAAGACTTATGTAACATGTGCAGAAATGTTGGTAAATCAAAAATCTGGCAGTTAATAAAAAAAAAAGTATGCATATGGGAAATGCATGACTGCTTTTTCAACAAAATATGATTTACTCTTTCTAATTGATGGTAGAAAGTGTAAATACTTTAGTAATAACGTTACATGTTGCGAATCTAGAAAATGCATGATTAATTGAAATGTTGCAATTCTAGAAAATGCATGCATGAGTGTTTATTCTATGAAATACATTGTTGAATGAGATATATGGTCACTTAATATTTGAAAACTGGAGTATTTTCATTTTATGAAGAAAATGTGCCTCACCTCTACAATGTGTGCATGTTGTGGGTGGTTGCCAGGGTGTTGCTATGCAGTTGCTAAGGTGTTCTGAGTTGTTGCTTGGTGGTCACTTACTGGTCCTACTCAATATTGTAAAGGATTTTTTTTTAAAGTTAGACTAGGATTACAAGAAAATACTATTTCAGTCATTCAGCGTTTCGTTCAAGGTGTTACTTGCTGTTTCTGTGTAATTATTTGTCATTTCTGAGTGAAAAAAGGGTAACACTTTCTTTTGATGGTACACTTTACACCTTAAGTAACTTTGCATGTCAACTTGCAGTTATTAGAGTATTGGTAGACTGTCTGCTTAATATCTTTGCAACTACATGTCAACTTATTCTAATAATTCATTGGATGAACATGATTTAATCATGCCACCTATATTCCATCTAAACAAACCAAGTTAAGTCAACCAACCTTTATCATGTTATTTGAACACAAAATAGATGTGTTGGTCTTAAACATGATATTTACATTTACATTAAACTCATTTGCATCTTTTTTTAGGGTTAGGGCAGATTACTTTGAGTATAGCTATTTGCTAGCAGCAACACATATTAGCATCTTTAATGCTAAAATTGACATGCTCCTTCAACTAACACAGTAAAAATAATTAAATCAGTCCACAGCCAAACAAAATGCTCCACTCTTCTCCATCATGGTAACCCACTGTAATTTAAATGGTTCTAATAATTCCAATATAAACATAATTACACACAATAAAATATAAAATAACACTTAATTTGAACATTTATTCTCTGTTAATTCAACCATATGCAAAGCATGCTGGGAACTAACAAGCACCGCCCAGTTTCAGTTAATGCAACACAAATCAATCATGTAATCCAACACAAACAAATTAAGTTAACTTAATAGTTATGGATTAAATTAACTTACTTAACATAAATGGTTTGTGTTTAGACAACGAGTTAGGATTTTGTACTGTTAAGTTGAGACATAATTATGTTGACCTTACTGGAAAAAAACATTTCAAGTAAAAAAACACAATTATTATAAGTAAACTAAATATAAATGTATTATGTAAAGTGCACAACCTTCCTCGTTCATTACTAACTCAAACCTAAACTTAACCCTAACCCTAACCTAACAGTCTAATGAGAGTTAGTTGACATGCAGTTACAAAGTTACTTATACTGTAGTTAATGTCTAAAGTCGAAATAAAGTATACATCGAAATAATGTATAACCAAAAATTGTTTCATGTTTCAAGTTTTGTTCAGTGTATGAGCTATATTAAAGCTTCATACAGTTTTTTTCTGTAGTGTGTGTTTACAGTATTTTACAGTTAAAATTACACTCGTTTTATTTTACAGTGGTGAGCATATAAACTCAACAAATGGGTTTGGTGACCTTAGATTATTTGTTTGAAAGCTCTTCCCATTCCAAGAGTTAGTAAATGAAACCTAGTTTAGAAGACATGCTTGCTGATGCACAAGCTAAGAAGGCAAAGCCAAGTGTAGCTGCCTGTTGTATTGTGTCAGTGCTTTTCCACCCACTTCTTCCTGTCTTACTTGCAGATCGCATCTCTGAGAATGTGTCATGCTTGACTTCACAGCATGCTTCGCACATTACACATTACTGCTGAGTCTGCCTTTAGTAGAAGTATCTTAATATTTCCTGTGCTCTACTGACAGAAAGGTTCAACTCTATAGCACGTTTTAGCTGAATAATATCTTGTGTCGAAAGTTAATTGGAAGTAAGAGCTCACACGTTTATGAACGTTTAATCCGAAAGAGAGAAGTTGCTCAGTAAAAGGTCACGAAAGATGAAAGATCAGTGACCGCAGGACCCACCTTGACACCCAACCCTTGTTTTGAATCACACATAAAAAAATGATTACTAATAACAGCACTGCTGTGGAAGTTTATTCTTGGCTGCACTTTAAAAAGGAAAATCCAAATGCCATTGCATGAGAACATGCTTGCGAATGTTAGCAAGGTTCTGTATTTTTTATTGTTTTGCAACAGTTGAGGTCTAAAAGTAAAAGTAGAGGATTTCTTAATGAAGAAAATGTCTAGTAAGTAGATTCTTATTTTTTTGCTGTAAATTATATATATTTAAAATTATTTAAAAATAGAAAAATAATACATATGAATAAAAATATTCAATTGATAATAGTAATACAAATGTATTAATCAAATATGCATCAAATTAAATATTAATATATTTACATATTTAAATTCGAATCTGTATTATAACGTGAGTGAATCTTCAAAAAGATAGCAACTCACCAATAGCAGATTACAAGAGGGCAACACGCCTTCTGAGCTATTCCAAGATGTGTCTGAACTCCACGATATTTTTCCTCATATTTAATAGCGCACCATTATGATGATCACTGTTGCTCAATATGATCGCCATTCGCTAATACCTGAGCATGCAATTGACTCCTCCCCATTAAAACATTAATAGACCTTATTTGTTTTTTTAGATTCTTAATATTGCTTGGGTTTTAATTTTTTTTATTTTTAATGAAAGGGTATCACTTTATTTTGATGGTCTCTTTTGTAACTTTGCAACAACATGTCAAATAATTCCCATTGGAGTAGAAGACTGTCTGCTTAATATCTGCTATCTCTTTATTATGATGCTCCTCCAAGAGACATTCTACTTACTTTAAGTAACTATGCAAAGTACATGTCAACTTATTCTAACCCTAACCCTAACCTACCACTGTGCTAAGCACATTTCTGGTGGGTCTATAGCCCCAGCAAGCCCATCAAGCCCTGTATGAGTGTTTATTCTATTAAATATACTGTTAATGAGTTATATGTTCACTTAATATTCGAAAATTTGACTATTTTCATTTTATAAAGAACATTTGTATAACCTCTACAATGTTTGCATGATGTGGATGGTTGCCAGGGGGTTGCTATGCAGTTGCTAAGGTGTTCTGAGTGGTTGTTAGGTGGTTGCTTACTGGTCCTACTCAACCAGTAACAGTAATGACAGAGGCCTAGCTCAGTCATTAAGCAACACAGTCTCATCCCAAGGCGTCATCTAACTGACGCTTCTGACCATGCGTCAACATGCCGACGCACACACCACCCCCCAAACGTCAACATGAGACGCTCATCCTCGGGCGTCATCAAATGCCGCGCACCCTTTAGCGTCAGTTAGATGACGCTTCTGTTATGGGTAGGTTTAGGTCTGGAGTAGGGTTAGGATTAGACCACTAGGAGGCGCGTCTCATATTGACGCTCAAGGGGTACCCTGTGCGTCGGCATATTGACGCATGGCCAAACATGGTCTAAAGCGTCAGTTAGTTGACGCCTTGGGTGTGAGACTGGGCTGCATTAAGCCGTTTATTTCACTTGCATGGACTGTACGTTAAAACCTAATATGGCCTGTTTTATGCATTTCTGATTTGTCATGTCCAACAACTGAATGTTACAAGTTCAAATCTCAGCAAGGCTCACTTTCCAAACCAATTCCATTATTGTCCGTCGCGCCCAGGCCCTTTTCAATGGCTCGAGTTCCTCGCAGTTAAAATCCCACAGTCATCACCGTCACCAGCAGAGAAATGCAAATGACCGCTGCGCAATGAATGCGACACATTGTCCGGCGGATTAATCGGGTTTGAACCTTTTTTGTGTTTTGCAGGAAAGAGCTTCACGCTGACAATCACAGTATTCACAAACCCACCGCAAGTGGCGACTTACCATCGAGCCATAAAGGTCACAGTGGACGGACCGCGGGAGCCGCGAAGTGAGTACCAAATATCACACGTCATGTGATCAGCACGCGCAAAGAGCGCCCGAATCCAAAGATGAATGATTTTGTGCAGCATCGTGGCACAACGCCCAGCCAGTGGGACGAGACGTGTGGCCCGATGCATGAATTGATGCATAGATTGTGTTACGGTACTGTTTTAAAAAATGGATTCAGCACGCCTCAATGCACAAAGACGGCCTTTGAGGAGCTGCAGGCACGGTCAGCGAGAGGCAAATACAAACACGTGCTGTCAAGGCCGCTTGACTTGTGAAAATGTTTACTGTATTGGCCTCTTGTGTCTGTCCATCAACGTGCTCTTAAGAGCGAGCAGCTTGACCTCTGACCTGTGCTCTGGCTCTGTTCTGAATGGAATAATAGTGCACTACATACTGCGCAGTGCACAATCTGCTGGGTTTTTAAACCTGCTCATCTTACACTTTTTTTTTTTTTTTTTTTACAAAATTTGATTAAAAATGCAAAACAGCTTTTTTTTACAATTTTCACTCAGAAATTGCTTTTACATTTCGCAATTAATTGCAAAGAAATGGCAAGCAACACGTTGATTTAAAACGGGGAATTTTGAACTAGCAAACCTTCAATAGGATTTTCTTGTAAAATGCACTCCAATGAAATTTTTTTATTAGAACATTTTTTTACATCCACATTCTGAATAAAACATTTAGCATAATCATGTGAGGTAAAATACTGTTTGAAATGTTTGTCATGCTATTTACTTGCTATTTTTTGATAATAATACGCAATATACTAAGGAAGCACTCATCTCCCTTCGAGTAAATATACTAAAGAAAATTGTGAAATAGTTTACGTTATGAAGTTAAATTGTGAGATATAGTCACAAGTACACACATATATGTGTATATACGTATATATATATATATATATATATAAATTGGCTTTCATAATACACAGTATTTACTGCATAGTTTTCAGTAAGCAAATCTTCCATTCCAAAAAAGCCCATGTAAAACCGAGCACATTGCATTGTGGGATACAGGGTGTGCTCAAATTTTGACAAATGTAGTATGTCATGCTGGAATTAAAGACATGCTGAAAATGCTGCATCAAAGGTATAGTTCATCCAAAAATGAAAATGATCCGATAATTTACTCTGCCTCAAGCCATCCTAGGTGTATATGACTTTCTTCTTTCAGCCAAACACAATCAGAGTTATATTAGAAAATATCCTGGCTCTTCCAAGCTTTATAATGGAGTGAGTGCCCGAGTTTGTGAAGCTCCATCCATCAATCATAAAAGTAATCCAAATGACAATGGGTTAATAAATGCCTTCTGAAGTGACGCGATGGGTTTTTGCAAGAAAAACATCCATATTTAAAACTTTATAAGTCGAGTTCCGCCGGAAGAGTGACCCTCCAGGATATTATTTAATATAACTCCACTTGTGTTCGGCTGAAAGAAGAAAGTCATGTACACCTAGGATGGCTTAAGGGTGAGTAAATTATGGGATAATTTTTTTTGGGTGAACGATCCCTTAAGGAATAATATACTAAACTATTCTGAATAGAGCCATGCTCTTAGTTCTGAATATGAAGCATTGAAAGAATAATCCATCCCTTTGTTGGGTTACAAAAGAAGGTCAGGATGTATTTCCAGAAAAGAAAAAAAAAGAAAATCCATTTTATACATCAATATTGGGTCATTACAGGATCAGATAGATTTATAGGAACCATTGTGACATTTCTCAGACAGAAAAGAAACTTTGATGCTTTTGTTTTACCGATACACTGAACAGATACTTGTCACGGAAAAGAGAAACAGCCCATGTTTTCTCTCTCGGAGGAACCTGATCTGGCAAAAAGCTCCAGTTATGCGTCAATTATGAAAAAGCAAGCCACTTCATCGGAGTTGATGTCTGAACTTGTGAGTTGTGTGCAGTCCTTACCGTTCTCGTGCCTAAACTTCTCAGTCGCTCTCACTACCTGAAAAAAGCCAACTGTTAGAAGACGCTGCCAAATTTCGATTTTCACACTGAACCCCAGGACCCGTAAACACACACAAGCTGTCATGAATTACTTTCATGTGGCAGAGAATGGAACCAGGAACACACAGTGCTTGACTTTCTTTAGTACGTTTATATTAAAGTCTGCTGCAATCTGACATTACGGCCAAAGTTCTTCACAATAATCGGATAAAAGTAGATCGGATTCTGTCAACTGTTTAACGGTGACGGACAGATGTTTCTTACGCTTACGTTTTATGCAAACTTTTTTTTCGTTTTCGGTCGTGAAATTACTCAAAGCGTTCATGACATGACAAGCAAGCTTTCAATGTGCTGTTACTATACGTTTCTAAATGATTGCACAAAAAATCCCTTTAACTTTCAAAGAGGGAGCTGAGATATACGTATTAAAGACCAGAATATCATAAAAACTGATTTGGATTAGTAAGAAACATAGGAATGTGTCAATAAAGTGCAACAGTGCCCATCCGGGAGTGAGTTTTTAATTATTATTATTTTTCTCAAGGGGAATTGTTTTTAAAAGTCTTTGTTAAAGAGCCATAAACCAAACAATCCAGCTATTAAGAGAATCACATTACAAACTTTGATTTGAAACAAAAATATTAAAAAATCAGAGAAAAAGACAAAGGTACACACCTGGGAACTCAACATGAGAGAAAGAACTACAAGCCCATGAAACACTGCGAATGACATAACCAAATTAATGTGTGTAATGTAAAAAAAAAAAAATCAGTAGAAATAGGGCACAAAGTACTGTAAAGTAATGAGGTAAAAAAAAAAGTTTTACAGAAGTTTTCCCTGTATTTTTAATTATGCCTTGCATTGTGTTGTGTTTTTTGTTTCATGGAAATTTCTATAAAATTACTGGATAATGTCCTGGCAGAAAATTACCAGTAAATGTTCTGTTTTCGTTTTTTGCAGTGTACATATACAAATATGATAGTATTTAGACAGCGTAGGGAGACCTTCTCGATTACGTCATGGGAGTGGGCGGAGCTAAAGAGCTCTTTTAGATCGATTTGGTTGCAACGTCTGATTGGTGGAATTTTCTTCACAGCATCATTAGTGGTTTTTCGCCATGAATTCCACTGTTAAACAAGATTCTTTACAAAAATAAGTTGAAATAATGCGGGCTGATGGCTTCAAAAGCATATACCATCATTTAACAAAAGGTCTGTTCAACGAATCAGTTACTGCTAAAAATGTTCCCTATATGGTGAAAAATGAATTGACCCGGGCCTTTTCTCAGAGGTGGAAGTCATCATAGTTGGGTAAACTTCAATAGCGGTGAATGAGAGACTACATTAAATATATTTTTTTGCGTTCCAGTTTGCTCAGATAGCAAAAGAAAAACTCCACACTAGTGTTTTCACAACTTTTAAAAAGAGTGAAAAAAAGATTGAAAACAGCCGTCCCATAGCCGCTGTAATAGGTAATATAATAGGTATAGTGTTATAAGTCTTCTACATACATAAAAAAAAGATATATATATATAAACTTTGCAGGATTTATGATGCGGATGACCGCTAAAACGCATCTTCAGTCTGTGAAAAGTGTCCATGGAGTTTTTAACTTCTGGAACTGCGCTCCTATCAGAACCCCTTAGCAACCAACCCAGAACATCTGAAGCATCAACATTTCATCTCACGTCGTCACACGCCATCATACACAGAAACACACAGTCTGATGAGCGCTGCTGTAGATCCAGCCTTGGCGCAATTTCCTGGCACATTTGTAAAAAGAACATGCCAACTTGCCTGGCACACATCTGTCGCCACTGGCCTCGTATTCATAGATAACTTTCTGGCGGCTAAACCAACAATATCACTTCTTAAAGTCTCGTTTTTTTTTCCTCTTTACCTCCTCATCTCAATTAACACATCTGGCAGCAGCGTTTTGGAGCCACTTTATGCCAGTGTGTGATCTTCATTCATTAGCGGATTAATCGTGCCCTCGGGCATCTCTGATGTGACGAGCCTTTCATCTCACGCAGCTCATTCATCTTCAGTTTTTCTTTCTGGCTTTGTGTGCATGTGTTTATCAGGGAAAATACCAGTTGATGACATGGCTTCTGTTGGTGTAAACACAGACTCGTTTTTTTTTTCTTTCAGATGTTGCGTAATTACAGAATTATATAGTTGGCTGATGTCTTTTTATTTCGTTAATTAGTATAAACCAGAGTAAATATTGTTGACTAACACCACAAACAACTTTTTCATTACTTAAAATGAAGTAAACGTTTACTGAAATAATATATATGACACATAATGATATAAAAAAACATATACACTTTTTTTCTTTGTAATAATAACATGCAACAATGAATCACAAATAAGACCAGGACAAAAACGCATCGCTTCGCTTCAGAAGGCCTTTATCAACCCCCTGGAGCCGTATTGATTACTTTTATGATGAATGGATGCGCTTTTTTAGGCTTCGAAATCTCAGTTATTCACTCCCATTATAAAGCTTGGAAGAGCCAGGATATTTTTTAATGTAACACAGATTGTGTTTGGCTGAAAGAAGAAAGTCATGTACACCTAGGATGGCTTGAGAGTGAGTAAATGATGGGATAACTATTTAGGGTGAACTATCCCTTTAAAGGTTCTTCACGGAACCACAGATGTAGACCTTAGACTTAGACCTTAATTTTTAAGAATGTATGTTGACCTTAAAACCCATATTAGCCTCTCTGAGGTTTGCTGGGGACTTTTATGCAATTTAACAGCTTTTATTTAGGCAAAAAATGGTTCAGGTCAATCTTCTCTCCTACATTATCTATGGAGGTCTATTGCTTATCCTCATCTGCTGTTAAGCGGAAGGCAGGTGGCCATGCAGGAAATGACACATTCAGAGGCATTTAGAGTTGTGCAACGTCCTGCGAGTGTGTCGTGAAGCTGCCTCTGCCTGTTTACACATTCCTTCTGCGCTTAAGAGAGAAAAACTGAGAGAGAGACACAAAAACTCTCATTCAGAGAGACAGACAGACATTCAG